CTGTTCTCTGCACCTCCATCACTGTCTGGTTTGGCTCAGCAACCAAACAGGACAAGTACAGACTTCAGTGGACAATCAGGACTGCAGAAAAGGTCATTGGTGTGAGCCTGCCCTCCATGGAGGACCTGTACACCTCATGGGTCAAAAGGAGGGCAGAGAGGATCACTGCAGACCCCTCACACCCCGGACACAATCTGTTTGAACTGCTCCCCTCTGGATGGCGTTACAGGTCACTGTGCACCAAGACAACCAGGGACAAGGACAGTTTCTTCCCCCCAGGCTGTCACTATGATTAACACTTAACCAACAACAGTATGACTGAACAATAACCCTCAGTGCAACACCTGTAAATATACCTCGTACAGATTCATACAGGTCTATTTTTAAGTACTCTGTTTTTATCCCTATTTATCTCATTTCAATGAACATTCCTTTGTCCATCTGCATTGTTTACCGTCTTTTATGTACTGCTTATTCTGCATTGTTTGCACTGTTTGTTGCTGTTAATACTGCTTATTTTTGTTATATTACACAGCCTTATGCTGGTTTACTGTTTGCACATTGAGAGCTGATGTACCAGAGTCAAATTCCTCGTGTGTTCGTCACACCTGGCCAATAAAGCTGATTCTGATTCTGAGATGAGGATGTTGAGGTTCTCTTTAGGAGGGACCAGGATGGACAGGATTAGGAATGAGCACATCAGAGGGACAGCTCAGGTCGGCTGTTTTGGGGACAAGGTCAGAGAGGCCAGATTGAGATGGTTTGGACATGTGCAGAGGAGGGATAGTGGTTATATTGGTAGAAGGATGTTGGAGATGGAGCTGCCAGGCAAGAGGTCAAGAGGAAGGCCAAAGAGGAGATATATGGATGTGCTGAAAGAGGACATGAAGTTAATTGGGGTGAGAGTAGAGGATGCCGAGGATAGAGTTAGGTGGAAAGAGATGTTTTGCTGTGGCAACCCCTAATGGGAACAGCTGAAAGTAGAAGAAGAAGTAGTAGTAGTAGTAGTCACAGTACCCTAGTTCTATTTTGACTATAACAGTAAAGGCCTACTAAAGTACGATTGATTGTATGTATAGAATCTAACATACTTGTAATTTCGGTATCCAAGTTGACTCTTACTCACATTTCACTTCTACAAGGCTTTCAGAGCTGGACTGGATGATCTAATGTTTATGATGCAGTCTGCATAGTGTTTACTTTGAGTCGTGTATGTTCACTGGATTTTTACTGGGTTCCTACTTCTTTAGCCTATTATGATGGTGCACTATCTGTGTGAAATGCAGGACTTGTAGACTTAAGAACTCTTTCTGTCCCACTGCCATCAGACTCCTAAACAGCTGACAGGAGTTTATAATCAGGTATTACTTCATGTAACTGCACCTGGTTGTTTACATTCTCAGTTTGCAAATGTATAATTGCACATTCATTGCTGACTGTTGCACATACAGCTGATGTAGCATATATTCTTAATATATTTTTGTTATATTTTTCACTTGCTGTTTTTAAAATTGCCTTTATTTTGTATTATTATTAATCTATTTTATATTTAGACTTTATATTGTTTGGCATTCATTGCGGACAGCAAAGGAAGAATTTCATTTTGCAGGGAAACATGTTTCCTTACTGTGCATATGACAAACACTTTGATTGAATAAACACTTTGACTGATCTGATTGTTTTTGTTTCATGGTAATTTTGCGCCACCCGCTGGACAAGAAGGTACATAGCAGCCAACTGCTGCCCGCAGCGCTGGATTTTCTCAGTTATCTCATGCTTTAAAGCAATTAACTCAAAGTCTTTATGAAATGCATTTTTACTAATGCAAGATCCATATGTATTTAATCTATTAATTAAAAAAAAATCTTAATTAAAGCTATGCCAATAAAATAGTACACATAGTCCTCTTGAAAAGTTTTGGCTGCACACATTATGCACAAACTTTAACAAACACAGAGAAAATGTTTACCTGAAAATAATGTTGTTGTAGAAGAAAACGTAGGACACCATACTAAGTATAATGCTATTTGCTAATATTATCAAAAGCTCCACATGGCCAGAAAACTGACTTAGGAACACTATTACCGGTTCCCATCATCATTATTTGGCCATAATTATACTGTAGATGACGATGTTTGCAAAACTGAATAAAGTCAAACTACCAGTGAAATATGAAATGCAACCACTCTGAAAAAATAAACATAACTTGTTTGCAAGCTAGTTAAAGCATTTTAAAGTATAATGCAATCTAAGTACTCGTACTGTATTTTGATGAATAATACTGAATGTAAATACAGCTTCTGTTTTTTTTTACAACAAAACTCCACAGGACACCCTAATGAGAGAATTCAGACTTTGAATGCTGCCCAGAGCTCCTGACTAATGTGTGCATGTAGAGTAATTCTAGTCCCTTTGAGCAACAACCCCTTTTTGTTTGTCAGTTAGAGGCTACTATAGCAGCAGGTAAAGATTTTGTAGTAGAACATAAATTCTGAGTTGCAGTCATTTCAGTTCTTACTGATGATGATCAAAGGACCAGGGTTAGTGCTCAAAACTTCACTTAGGTCTACAGGTTTACAGTTTGATTCAGTCGCTCTCATTCATTGCTCAGATCAGAAACAAAATTCTCTAAACTACTTGTTCCACATGATGCAGTTAATTGTGTACATCATATAGGCAATTTCTCATTGTTTTGAACAAATGATAGGGCAAGGCAATTTTATTTATATAGCACATTTTCATACACAAAGGCAATTCAAAGTGCTTAACAATGCACATAGATGGATAAAACTGGAGTGATGTGTTCTCTTTTCTTGGTGTCTGTCAGTATTGTGGTAGCAGCTTTTTGAATGAGTTGCAACTGTTTGATGGTCTTATCCGGGAGGCCAATCAGGAGTGCATTACACTAAAAACAAAAGCATCAATGAGCTTTTCTAAATCCTGCTTCGACAAAGTTTCTCATTTTAGCTCTTTTTAAAATGCCAGAATGATGATTTTGTTACAGCTTTGATGTTGAACACATTGACAAGGGAGATCAGAATAGCAAAGAGGAGCTACTCGGAAAAGCTGAAAACCCAGATTTCAGCCAGCGACCCCTCATCTGTGTGAAGCCTAAAAATCATCACTAGCTACAGGAAACCATCCTCCCCTACTGTGGAAGGCCATCAACTGGAGGACCTGAATGTGTCTTACTGTAAGTTTGAGAAGCAGAAATCAATGATTTACCATATGTTATGGGGAGCAGCATGTCATTCCCATGAGGAAGGAGGGTCTCCACAATTACCAAATTTGGTTTCAACAAGCATAGAAAAACAATCTCCACAACATGAGTATATAAAAACAATCTCCACAACATGAGTATATATATATATACCAGCCTCCCCCTGAAAGTATTCAGACCCCTCCACTTGTTGCACACTTTTTGTTGTACATTTTCATTTTAAATGGGCAAAAATGACAGTTTTGCCCACCAGACTACACTCCATAACCCACAATGACAAAGTGAAAACATGTTTTAAGACAATTCATACACACATTTTATTTGACATGAGGCCTTTCAACATTTCAAAAAAGGTTCTTCATTAGATGTGTATATTTCTGAATAAAATTAAATTACATTGATTTGGGGAATTTCAGGTTAGGTGCCAAGTCCAATTGGTAATCCACTCTTTCATTTTCTCCCTTAAGAATATTGGCAATATGGCTACACTATATTCAGTAGTTCTAAATCACATTCAGACTATTTGGAAAAAAGGATCCCCCTCGTCTCAGAACACCCTGAGTTCTTCATATTTACAGAGACGAGACATCACTTAAATATTCTACATCATTCACGCGTGGTGTCATTGGGTCCAAGTGAGCTATAAAACCACAGGAATCCAGACTGTACACACACACATATCCATATTTTGTGTCTCCTAGTGATGATGTCAGAGCTCATCGTGGCGCAATGGCTCCTGGCTGGGCTGGATGAAGACACCCTCCATGGCACGCCACCAGTTGTGTTGGCTGGGAGAACTCATGCCATGCACCTCATGCTGGCCACGGATGGGGTGACCATACTGCTCTCCTGTCACACTCAGGAAGACATCAGTGCCCACATGTTTGAACCGCACGGCTTCATCACGCTCCCAGTGGATGCTGTCACACTGCACTGTCCACACATCCAGGTCATCACCTTCACCATTCTCTCCAAAGGCGCTGACCTCCTGTAGATCACACATGTAGGCAGAGAAAAAAAATATAAGATTACTACAGCAAAGGACAGATAGATCTGCTGGGGGTCCATACTCTCTTAGGATTTTATGTGATACATCTTATTCCTCAATGACATAGACATCCATTGTTGTCAAAAATGATTAAGAATACATGTGTAGATACATAACTGTGAGTGTGTGCACTACTGTCTGACCTGGTTATTAGACAGGGGTGAGCTGAAGTGGTGTGTGTGTAGATTTCGGCCAGTCTTCATGTGTGTGATGCGGACGGCCTGACCACACTTGACGGCTGCCCCACGCTGACACGGACGGCCGGGCTTCCCACGAATTTGCCAGTAACTGTTGGCATCGTCTGCGTTCTCAACTCCTGTTACAGACTGCTGTCCACTGCCTACATGCACACACACAGGCACACATTTGTTTTAATCCCTGGTAAGGAAACTACACTGACCTGCATTCATTTCCTGGAGACTTAAAGGTTTGTGATTCCCTTGGAAGCATTTTTTGATACATATGTTGAAATTCTCTTTTCATCCTGATGGCAATGAATACATTAAATGATTCTGAAATAAACAATATACTGCATAGCCTATTTATAATATGTGAATATGTAAATAGGGATGAAATAATAGTATATTTGCTGAAAATGAAACTAAATTATGATCAAAGATATTCTGCAGTTGGTAGATGATGTACATCAAGAACATTCATAAAGAGAAGTGAATAACACATTATCACAGGGACTCTATTAAAAAGTTTGTAAGGATACAAGTGAAGGGTTGTTACTTGTAAGTTTCACTTAAGTTCAAAATCTTGCAAAAATGTGGTCTGTTATTGTTAATGGAAATATGCCTAACAAAGCTCATAAAATTTGATTTAAAAAAATAAGGGGCCTTTGCTGATTCACACTGCATTAGAATTAGCTTAAAGGTGAAAAAATAATGTGACCCATTTGCAGTAGCAGTAAAGGAAATAAAGATAAATAAATAAAGATAGAGTTGGGGTTTTGTGACTTTTCTCATTTAAATGAATTAAATTCTGATTATTCTAAATTCAGCCATCTCACTTTGGATGCCAACATGCATGTACACCATAGTGCTAATACAGAACCTGCAGTACTATCACACCACATATGAAAGTATACTAAGAGAACTTAGCAAACTTGTTCTCCTGCACCACAGATGACCTGCTTAACAGAGGTGTGTGATACATTGTATCCAATTTCATCATGTCTAACTTGTCTAACTTAATTAGCCTATACCTAATCTATTACATAAATATAATGTGTAGATGCTAGTTTTATTAACTGCAAGTACATGTGTGTTTTAGTTATCTGTAGAATGTTATTTTTACACATGCATTTTGGAGGGTTCAAATATCAATTGTCTGTCTCTTCCTGTGTGACTCAGAAACACTGGAGATTCATTTGCATTCAGGCTGTTCCTGTATCACTTTCAGGCACTCTCTGTATAAATGTGCACTTCTCTTATGACCACCATTAGTAGGCGTTACCAAATGTAAAACAGATTTAAGAATGTGAATAACTATCTACAGCTTTACTGGTCAGACAGGTAAGGTAAAACCTATAAACCACTGAAAACAGTAGAGCTTCCCAAGTGGCAAGTTGACAAAACCGGCCAGAAATGATGCAGTAAGTCAACCTGATTTCCTTTCAAAATGGTGGCAGTAAAACAGGTAGAGGCTAATGATTCCTTAGTTGAACTTAGGTATTTGCTGCAGTAAATAAATGATAACAGAAGAAGATGCAGGGAAAATGGAGCAAATGACAATAATAGTAGTGGTAATAGCTATAAACACATGACCAAGAGTTGAGCAGATGCATAGGCTTATATGGAAAATGAGCTACAAAAGTAAAGAGGAATGTAAAATAGAAGGATCAACTAATTGTTACTAAATTCTCCTTTTGTTATTATCATATCATAATTATAATCACAGCACAGGGGAGTCACATATGAATAGAACATTTTTCAAAGAATACGTAGCCTAAAGGCAGCTATGTCACAGCTGTTCCAAAGTAGCACATCATATAATTCAGTCATGCCAGAAATACTCTTGACCTTCCAGTAAATACCAACGCCGCATTTAAAATGCAGCTTTTTGCAGTGCTGATACAAGCAATTCAATTCCATTTCTGACAGCATTTTAGCTTGTAACGCCATCAAAAACAGTGTTTGTGGCAGCTGGAAAATGCGACGTGGCAAGGCTAACCAGATACAATGTGAGCTATTTAGTGTTCCATAAAATACAGTAGTTTCTTTAGAACCTACACGTTATCATGATCTTGTAACATCAGAAATATGTTTGAGCATTCTTAGTTGACTAGCCTATTAAATTTATAGAGAAAATGTGAAGGTATTCCCAGTGTTCCACTACAGTGGAAAGCACATTTGCTGGGTTTTCAGCAGTATACCGCTCTGGCATTGCTTTAATCTGAAGAACAGCATTCTGTATTTTCCAGTTTCTTATATAATGGCAACATATGATTCAGTTGTAAGGACTGTCCACGCATCCATGGTCAGAGACACCTTTTCAACACTTATCAAATGACTGTGCAGCTCATATGCATTATCATCATACAGTTTATCCCATCCCATGACCATTTTTCTTGATGGGACCATATACCCCAGCTGAACAAATGCCATCAAACTTCAAAAACCCTTCCCCTCGACAAAGCTAATAGATGGCATGTCCTTTGCTATCATTTTTGTGATGAGGGCTATTATTTGCTCTGTATGTTGATGATCAAACTTATCTCTCCAAGTGACAAATCTAGCCAATGACCGTTGATCTACCTTCAAATGGCTTTGCATAGTTGATGTCGATTTATGATATGCTAACTTATCTTAACAGAGTTTGCACTGCACCTCATTTTTGTTTATTTTCTTGAAGTTCCATGCATAACTTTTTGATGGCTGTAGTCTCTGCATGTTTCTGCAGTTTGTATTTGGCACTGTAATAAAATGCTATACAGCCTTCATTATCACATTATTTCCAGGTGCTGGTGAAAGCCGGGGAAAACAGCAGCACTTTGCTTTTAAAGACAAAACCATATCTGATGACATTAGATTTTCTTTTTTTATTCAATGGATATCTGAATATTCAAACATCATTGCCCATCCTTAATGTAGTGTACATCTCTATGATGGATAATGAGCCTTAAGCATTTGCCCAAGATTCAACACGTGATGACAACTTCACATCCTCTATTGGCTTTACTTTGAATAGTCTGACCGGAAGTCTGATGGATCACAATTTCGTTCAATTGACACGGGTATAAAAGAACACGCAAAACGTGAAATGTGTTCAACTTTGTGTTTTAACGAGAAGGTACAGGTGAAATACAGACATCCATATAGCTGACACATTTCATTGCATGAACCTATATTAACCGGTCAATTATCTGATAATAGGTTACTACATAACGCTATCATGCATCATGAAAACACAGGGCCAAACTAAATTGACAGAAATGGGAATTTCATGTTTGTCTGCTTGACGGGTAAAAGCAACTTCGCCTACGAGATGACTTAAGATATTTCACAAATGAATAGAACATCTTCTTAATTTCGGCGTACCACAAACAGGGAAACAACCTTTGTGTCGATGACATTTCCAGTTATTCATCTCCTGCATCACAACAGACGGCGGACGGCGGTTGTAGTGGGTGTCATGATAGGCCTACAGTATAAACAGGTTAACGTTTTACAAAAGTAAAGGGCTATTACTAAAATTTCTACGTACCAAATCCACTACTAAGTCAAAAATGCAGAGGTATTGGTACGTTTTGTAGTTCATGAATGTATGCAGATAAGCAATGCAGCTTTAAACAGTTTTAAGTTAACGCTAAAATAGGCATACGGTAAAAACGCTACATGCATCTGAATGTATGTATGGTTACTTACATCGTATTAAGAACTTACCTGAACCGTATTTGACATCGTGGGAATGCAGGCGGACGTTGTGTCTGGTGTTGAGTAGTTTTACCAGCGAGCCGCAGGTTACATAGTTGAGCTCTGACTCTCTTCCTTCACAGTTTGACCACAGCAGCAGAAATAGTACGGATATAATAAAGGCGTAGACAGTAAGAGTTATCTGCATTTTTTGTCTCTAGTCTGATTACCTGCAGACACAGTGAGGATGAACAGCAATTACAGTCTCTTTCAAACTTACTGTTGTATTCAACCAATCATAGCTTGACAAGTCCGAAAATGCGGAAGCACATAACGACGTGTGATTGGTGCGTTAATTTACAGTGACAAACCGGAAACGGGAGGTCATATTAATGAATGTAATATTTAATTTAGTTGTTTTTCATCTCTTGCTACTCATTTTGCATATTTTCATCTTTTTGTCATTTTGCACATTTTTGTAGTCAGTTTCTATCACACCTGACATAGTAAAAGTCCAGCTACACGAACAAACAGAAATGCAAGTCTACACACCATGGGTAGTGTTCATTTCCAGGGGCCAGTTATTCAGAAGCTCCGAATTTGGAAATCTCATGTATTGCTATTCAGGATCTGGTAATCCATATTGCCTTTGTGCTGGTTTTTCAAAGCTATATTGGAGTGGATCACTCTTATCCAAATGCAGACTTTTCAAGATGACCAAATGTAGGCAACTAGCTATGTAAAGAGAAACAGGTACACTAGCTGGTTTGGGGTCACAAAGTGTTTTTTTTTTTTAACAGAAAACAGCATAATAAAACAATACTAATCCCCTTTCATTTTTTGAAATTCTTTTAAACAGTCAGACCCCTCATCTGACCCACATCAAATACAAAACAAACATATACTATATTCAGTTCATTCACATATTTGGAGCATGTTTTAAATCATAAAAAGGCCAAATGTTCAAGGAATTAAAAAATACTCATGTATTCATATCGGCCCATAATAAAACAAATTTAATGAACGCACCCTTTTTTAAAATTCGGAATGTCTGATGTGGGAAAAGGCAGCGAACACATCGTAGGCTGGTCAGACTAGCCAGGTGAGTTTCACTGCGGCTGGGATCAGTTTTCTATTGCTAATTCAACTGGAACTCAATTGTTGGCTGACTTGGGATCAGTACGAGAATGCCAGGCGGAACAGACGGTGACTGCTGGTACCTGTTTCACTGAGCAAAAACACGGAGAATTGTAAGCAGGTAAGTCAGCGTCCAGATATTGAATATGTTATTCATTTTCGCTTTTAATGACAAAAATAAACCTAGATTTAATGTTACCAATAAAACACGTCGTTTCTCTTTAACCTATTGTAGTCATTTTAAAACTTTTTTGTGTGGAAATTCAAGCAGAGATAGGCTACTTGTTTTCTACTAGTGCTAAAGCGGTGGGCTACTTCATGCTAATATTTCAGGACTTTACCCAGATGTTTGGACAAGTTGTTTAACTCGCTAATAACTAACTTAAATGTGGCTTCTGCTGAGCTGATGAAACCTAAAACTCGGGAGCTTTATTTCTATCTGTGCCTGAAGTTACCAGAAGATTTCGTAGCCTCTAACAAAGTAAGCACAGTGACGGTGACTTTCAGAACATCAGCCTAAGACTTCACTGATATTAGTTCAATAAACCTGATATCAACGTTCTTTATATTACGCTGCCACCACCTTTATCTGCCTGGTTCGGTCCGGGCTCAGATACTAAAGAATACACAATGAAAAAATCTAAAATATACTCTCTCTATTAGCATTCCAAGACATCACAATTTCAGGACAGCTCCAGAGCATGGCCTCACTGGGCCGGACTGCCACCTTAAATAAACTGTAGGGAGACAGATGGCCACCCTACCCAGCAGCAACCCTGTCTCTTGGGGACCTTGAGCAGTATCCCGTTATGTAAAATAACTACAAATTAAGACAAAGCTCTTAATAAAATAACATAAACAACAAATATAAAGATTTGGAATAAACCTACTGTAGGGGCATCTGGTGGCAGCATACTGTTTTAATCCTTCATGTTTCTCTCTGTAGTGAGCACAGAGTTCAGGTCCTGATGTCTTCAGGAGGAGTTGGTTCTAGCACCTGGTTCGACAGGGTGCGGGAGATCCCACACTATGACCAGGTACCTTTGGGTTCTTTACGGCGTGAACCAGATTTCCCTGTGCCCCCGGCGCCCTTGTATGGAACAGTGCCAGCCATCAGTTTGGACCCCCTTCCCCCGCCCCCATTACCTGAACAGCCACCCGTTGGGCTGTTGATGGCTGATGATGGGCCAATGGAGGGTGACTGTGAAGCCATGGATATTAAGCCGGTCCACCGCTTCATTCCTGACTCTGTCAAGAATTTCTTCCGTCGCAATAGCAGTAATCGTGCCAGCAATAGCCACACTACAACGGGAGTTCCCTGCTCACCCCCACACTCTGCTCCTCCATCTCCGTCCCTTCTCGGCTCCTATCGAGATCCCTATGGCGGCTCTGGGGGTAGTTACACCTCTCAGAAGGAGCGTGACGCGCTTCTCCTGGGTGCTGAAGCCCTCGACTCTGCATCCGCAGTCCCCACCAATCTCTCATCCCTGACTTATGCGGAACAGGTGCAGGAGTACCACCAGCGCTACAGCTACATGAAGTCCTGGGCTGGCCTGCTGAGGATCCTGGGCTGTGCGGAGCTACTTCTTGGAGCTGCTGTGTTTGCTTGTGTCTGTGCTTATGTTCATAAGGACAACGAGTGGTTCAATATGTTTGGATACTCCCAGCCACAACTGTTTGGGGGGCTTGGTGGAGGTGCCTCTGCATATGGATATGGTTACTACACGGGCCCCAAGACTCCTTTTGTTCTGGTGGTGGCTGGCCTTGCATGGATAGTGACCGTTATTTTGGTCATCCTTGGAATGACCATGTACTACAGAGAAATACTTCTAAACTCTAATTGGTGGCCACTCACAGAATGTTCCATCAACGTGGCCTTGGCAGCGCTTTACTTAGCAGCAGGGGTAGTGTATGTGAGGGACACCGTTCGAGGGGGACTGTGCTACCTACCTGTCTTCAATAATGGAGTAAATGGGGCATTCTGTCGCACTGAGGCTGGCCAGACAGCAGCCATTGTTTTCCTTTTCATCAACATGGTACTCTACTTGATCGGTGCAGGAGTGTGTCTGAAGCTGTGGAGGCATGAAGCAGCCAGGATGAGGAGGGAGGCGCTGGAACAGGAGGTCTGACCACACACACACACACACACACACACACACACACACACACACACACTTGTATTTCTATATTTGTGAAGACCTTTATATTGACATAAGGGCCTCTCCTGAACAGTGGATAAGGCTGCAGTCAGGACTAGTGCTGCGTATCTAACTTTTATACTTTTATGACATTGATTGAATTAGTTCAATACCATCAAGTGTTGAAAAATGCTTTTCCACATTTTTATTTACTGATGTAAATGTTAACAGAATTTAAGGTTGTGGTAAATTGGTTTTCTTTTTATTAGGGCTGTCAAAGTTAATGCAATAATAACGCATTAACACATGCACATCGTGTGATGTAAGTGAATGGTAAGTTTAGCTTCAAAGCCCTGCCAAATCATTCTCTTGACAAGGCAAAAGTTATTTGCATTTACTGTTGATGTGAACTGAGTTGCAACTGGAGTACGTCGAGTCGAGAGTCCTCCTCCCCCTTGCCAAAGACAGACCACCCTGAATAGTTTGCAATGGAGATGCCTGGATAACTCTACAAGCAACAAACTTTGAATGATAGCTAAATGTGGCTACAGCTTGCAGGTGGGTAGTGGCAGCTGGACTGGAGCTGGCTTGGTTAGGTAGGTAGGTCGGACTTTATTGATCCCACAATGGGGAAATTCCTGTGTTCCAGCAGCAACAGAGAGCAGCAACAAAACGCCATAAGAACAAACACCACACATATATCTTGAGTAACAAATTCCAAAGTACCTAAAACTAAACAGAATATAGTATTTGAGAGACAATCAAGAACAGGAATGATCCTCCCACAATTAATCCCTGAGAACTAGGGCTGGGCGATATGGCAAAAAATAAAAATCTAGGTTTTTTCATAAAATGTGACCGATTCACGATTTCGATTTTTTTTTTTATGTGTAACTAGCCAACTTAAACACAAGTACAACAACATGACTGAAGTAACATTCTCTTCTTACGTAACTTGAAAAACCATCAGTTTAAGAAACATTGTATTTTAGTGTGCATGCCATACATAAATTGGACAACAAGGTGTAAATAAATGTAAAACAAATTGTCTAATGAAATGTCTTTGCAGCTGAATTAAATATGAAAGTAAATATTGAATTCTTCTTAATACAGAGTAAGAAAATAACCATTTTAAATCAATGACCAATGATTTTAACCAATTAGTCAACTCAAAAATTAAGCACATTTACACCAGAAGCATTATTAACAGTAAATGTTTGATAAGAAGCCAGCACATCTTTAAGCCCTTGACCAATTACTTCCCCAGTATGATCGTCAGGAAAATAACATGTCTGAAGACAAACACTTCGCAGTTTCCATTCTGCATCAACATAATGGGCTGTGAGGCTCATGTAAGGCTGAAGAGTACGACTACTCCACAGGTCAGTCGTCGTGAGAGTCCTCCTCCCCCTTGCCAAAGACAGACCACCCTGAATAGTTTGCAATGGAGATGCCTGGATAACTCTACAAGCAACAAACTTTGAATGATAGCTAAATGTGGCTACAGCTTGCAGGTGGGTAGTGGCTGCTGGACTGGAGCTGGCTTGGTTAGGTAGGTAGGTCGGACTTTATTGATCCCACAATGGGGAAATTCCTGTGTTCCAGCAGCAACAGAGAGCAGCAACAAAACGCCATAAGAACAAACACCACACATATATCTTGAGTAACAAATTCCAAAGTACCTAAAACTAAACAGAATATAGTATTTGAGAGACAATCAAGAACAGGAATGATCCTCCCACAATTAATACCTGAGAACAAATCAAAATACCTAAGAACAAGACAAAATATAGTATTCAAGAGATCAAGAAATCGAGGACAAGAATATTACTCGCATAATTACTCCCGCAATAGGGGAAATACCTGGAGCTTCAGGAGCTTCAGTTGGGTTGTGGTTGCAGGGCTGGAGTGGTCTGCATGCTTGAGAGTGCAGGTGAGTTGAGTGTGACAGACACAGGAGCTAGTCAGGTCATGGATCACAGGTGAGTACTGACAGAGCTGGAGGGGACTTACTCAGCTTCAAGGAGTTCAGGTAAGTTGAATGTGGCAATTACAGGAGCTAGCCAGGTCATGGTGTGGATAACAGCAGTGATGGGACATACTGTGCTGAAGAGTGTGTCGAGAAATCCAGGAAGTGTTTAGTGAAGCACGTACTGAGGATTGTATTGTTTACGATGAGTGACGTCATTGATGACGTTTGAAGCCTCACTGCGTGTAGTGGTTCAGGAAGTGGTTCGAATTTTGTTGCAATGTATTGACAGATATAAAGCCCAAGGAATCTCCACACAATTCTTGGGTAGTGTTGGAGTTGTGAGAGTTTGTGAGTTATGTATTTCCAACAAGAGGAATTGCTTAAACCCCAACAACTGTTTTTATATAGTTTTTAATAGTTTAAACTATCAAATAGTTTTTACATAAAAATGAATAGAAATGAATGAAGTGCCCCCCTACATCAGTTGCACAAGCACCTTCACTGCCCATCTCTGTTTACAAACACATTCACGTTCCTCTTCCTTGTTAACGCTGCCACAGTTTGAAAACATAATTGTCCGCTGTCATTATTATGACATTTTCAACTATTGATGTAAAGGAGGAGGTTCACTTTGGTATGTGTACTACTACCACGGAACTTTGATTAGAGTTTATCAGCCAAGAAACGTACGCACAATATTTACAAACAAGCACGTTAATAAGGGGAGACAAAAACACATAGTTTGAATGGGCTCTCTTGTGCTCATAAGAGGAAAATTCTGTTAAATGGCGATTATCATTCCCATGCCCAAACTGTGGCAAGACCGCTTTGAGTGTATCACATACAGTTGAAATGACTATAACACATTTGCCTGTCTTACAGTCTTTGACCAGCAGGGGGGTTTGTGTGTGCACGAACCCTTTTGCGAACCAATTCTCTGGAAGGCTTGAAGGCTTCATTTTGCCATCACTAGATAACAGTAAGTACTGATACAGACCTGGAAGGTATTGAGTCAGCTACAAGGAGTTCAGATTGGCTGTAGCAGTCTCAGGTACTAGCCAGGCAGCAGCGTGGATAACAGGTAAGTACAGACACAGAGCGGGAGGAGTCTTACTCAGCATCAGATATTTCAGGTAAGCTGAGTGAAACTGTTTCAGGTGCTAGCCAGGCAGCAGCGTGGATAGCAGGTAAGTACAGACACAAAGCTGAAGGAGTCTTATTCAGCGTCTGAGAGTTCAGGTGAGGTGCTGGCTGAAAATGAGCGAGGGAAATCTTCAGGAAAAACTCCTTTGGTCTTGGCCGCCTGGACATAGTGAGTGCAACTAAGCAAACCGGTAGGGAAGTATGAACAGAGTAATGGACTAGCGAGCGACTGAGGGAAAGGAGGTGGTATATATGGCTGAAAACGGGGGGATGATTAGCAACAGGTGAAGACAGTGAACGCTGATTGGGAACCGTGGTAAAGCTGGGGCTAGTGATGGGCAGATGAAGCTTCATGAAGCAATGAAGCCTTTCATCCAATTGGTTCACTCCAGCGCAAAGCTTCTTGACGCTTCATTTGCTCTAGTAGGACATGTACTGGATGCAACAATATCAGTTGGCATGAATTTGAAGTGAGTGGCATTTTGCAGAAAGCCTGTGAATAAAACTGTCAGCAAAACAAAGAAGTATGCAAAACACGTATATTATATTGTAGTGATGGCAGTATACTGTGTGTATGTGTGTATACATATATATATAT